TCAGCTTTTACCACAAATAATCTTTCAAATAACAATACCTTTGATTTTGAAGGCGATCAAATTCTATTCGATATCCCTCAACCATTATCATTTACCGCGAATCGATTCCAACAGCAAACTCCACTACGAACTGCCGAATATTCCTCGGATAGAATCTTTCAATTGCCATCTCATATGCAACAACCTCTGCATTCGAATAGTTTGATGTCGAACGGTCAATTGACTCCTACTTCAACTTCCAGACAAAATCACCATCGAGAGTCTTCGCTGTCGTCATTTGGATCTCCAGCCGCTCCAGCTTCACCTTACGCACCATCCACTTTGAATCCTCAAGTAGCTGGCGAATCATATCATGATTTCCAGGACTTCCATCCAACAGCATCGAAAACCTTGACACCAGCACATACACCATTACAAGAGAATTTCTTCTCGTCTCAGTACACACATCCAAGCCAATACCAAAATCAGAACAACCTTTCCTTCACAATGCTTAACGACGGCTTACCAAGATTGACGGGCAACGAGCTGATGTCGGCACCAGAGATTTATCACAGTCAAGGGTCGAGTAGGCCATCGCTAACTACAGTGGCGAGTAATGACTCACCCTCGACGCCACCGGCCTGTGAGGATGAAAGACAACAGTTCGGTATGACTTCTAGTGTGGATTCCTGGTTGAACGAATACTTACTTTCATCCGATTTCAAAGCCTCTCACAGAACTTCTCCGCATCAAATGCCAAAACTCGATCGCACGATGACGGATGCTTATAATGATGAGCTATTCAACCCCAATATATCCATGATTTCCGCTCCTTCCACAACTCCTGCTTCGACTCAAACAACCTCGAATCTAAGTAATGATATATTTACGCAAAGGCTACAAGCAGCAAATAATGGACACCTGAGTACTCAACGAGAAGCCTCGGTCTTGTCTCCTCGCCAACGCTCGCCTTTTCAACCAGGCTCACCACTAGCTCCTACTCCGGGAGGGTACAATGTCCACAATATGGGATTTGGAACTGCAAAGCACATGCGAGAACAACAAAAGGCCGAGGACGACGCGTTAGCTATGCAAGTCCAATACGAGAGGAGTAATCCAGGACAAGTTACACCAAAAACGATTTCGCCAAAGGATGTCAACTTGGTGTACAACGAAACCGAGGAGGATGCAAACAACCCATTGTTTCCACCACCACGACCTGTACAATCAAAAGCGGGTTATCGTCAGCAGTCATCGATTGATCCAGAGCCATCCGAGTCGGAAGATCTGTCATTATCACAACAAAGCTACGCTAGTATGGCTACAACTCGACGAGAAAGCTCGTCGGCAATTTCTACAACCTCCCAAAACACCCCAACGCAGTCTCAGTTCAAATCTACAAGTCCTACAATCACACGAGACAATCTTCGACAAATACCACAACATTATCCATTCGTCCCATCCACTCAAAGACAAGCAAGTAACATTTCAAACATGTCGAATTTATCGAACATTTCCAATGACTTTACACCAACCTTAGGGTCAATGGAGTCTAGCAGCAGTGATTATTCACCCGATCAAGAAATTCAGAGACCATGCGATACATCAGCAGGTAGTGGAACATATACATGCACATATCATGGATGTACATTAAGGTTCGAGACACCTCCCCAACTTCAAAAACACAAGAGGGATAAGCATCGGAACTCGACATCCTTGATCAACAATATGGGTGGGGAAACTCGGGGTGCAATGACATCAATGGCGCAAAAGTTAAACAGTCAAAGTGGGCCTCACAAATGCGAACGGATCAACCCATCAACAAATAAACCCTGCAACACCATCTTCTCTCGTCCGTATGATCTTACCCGACATGAAGATACAATTCACAATGCAGGAAAGCAAAAGCTGCGATGCAAATATTGTACCGAGGAGAAGACATTTAGTCGAAATGATGCTCTTACCCGACATTTAAGAGTTGTACATCCCGAGATTCCGGCGACTATTACGAAAGGAAAACGAAGAGGATTGGGACTTCATTCAGACTAAGAGTGTTTCTACTTTGAGATGCTCTCCTCCTCCTTCCCGTTTGGGGATTTGATAACCATCAGTAACCAAATTCCATGGTAAATGGGATGTGGTGGAATGAAACGAAATGAGATAACTGGAGTCAATTAATCAGCATTTTATTATCGATTACGAATAATGAAATGATTGGTCGTTTCTGACTCGAGATGATTCATTCTAAGGAAGTTTGTGTGAAGGAAGATAATATTCGATCGCACCACCTCAGCCACATCCACCTCCATCACTCCACTTTGTTGGGTTTTATGCTCACCCCAACTCCACTCCACTTTTAATAATCGGCTGTTGACTTCTCCTTCCCACCGACCATCCATCATAGCTACCTACTACCTAGTACCCTAGTACATTACCAATATCATCATCATCATTATTATCATCATGATCTACATGACTGGATTGGATTGATTGGATGCTTTGGATTTGGCTTGGACTCGACGGATTCTCATGATTGGAAATGGAAATGATAATGGAAATTGAATTTTCTGGAGTGTTTGTGATTGGATGATGAGATGATTGAAATATTATCTTCTCTTCTCCAAACTCAAACTCCTCGACTCCATTTGCTCCAAGAGTCCAAGACTCCAAGTCTCTATCTTATCGGCCTTGACCGCATTCTTTTTGGGCATCTAGATTCCAGGCCCCTTGTTTTTCTTGACTCGGAATTCAAGGGAACTTAGCCCGCATTGATCCATGGGGAGTGTTTTTTTGTTTTTTTTTTCAAGAAATCCATGATTTCATGATTCATGGATTTCTTGACGGGATTCAAAATAGATATTTGATGACGAAATCATTTATGCACGGTTTGATGCACGAAGGGTCTTTTTTTCTTCTCTTTTGTCTCCGCATATTTGTGGATACCAGATACCAACCACAGGTAATCTGGTTTATTTATTTATTTCAAATGTTTCGATTTCGGAAGCTCGGACTTTTATCGACAAGCAAACTCGGCAGACTAGAACAGTCCGTCAACTCAATTGAGCAATGGGGGGGGATCCGTGGTGGTACACTTTCGGTTCTATGACATCATCATTGATATCACGAAACACTCATGACGCTGTACACTTTGACACGTTCATACCTTCACACCCTCAATTTTTCACACATTTACAAGCAGAAGATTGTTTGTAAACGGTCATGTGATCCACACAAACACAATGTATTATGTCCTTATGATTTTCAAAAAAAAAATGTTATGAGTGGTCAGGATCTGGTTACGGGTTTATTTTTTTGTCTACTGTTTTGATTGTTGGGAAATTTTCATCTCAAAGCGCATTGCGAAAAGGCATGGAATGGGATGGAATAAATTATACTTGATTGACTTTTAGCGGGAATTGGGCTTAAGGGACATTGGGCATAGCATTTTGGGATACATTAGTCAATTGGACTAAATTTATTTTACTTTGTCAATACTCTAGCAGTCAAAATATTTCATGTTTTTTTATTTCTTCATCCCCTTTCCTTTTCTCTCCTTTGGGCTAAAAGGCCTAGATGGAATTTGTACATTATCATCATTACTACACCGATTGTATCATATTCTATTGTCTTGTCACTTTCTCATCACATTCTTTTTTTCCTTTTTCAAAAGACTGTATAATGAACTCGATGGATATCCAAGAAAAGGGGAGAGGAATGTATTACGAAAGAGTATAATCTCATTCTCGTGTTATGATATAGGAAGAGATAGGAAGAGATAGGAAGACATATTAAAAATATTTAGAATTTAGATGCGTATTATACCATGATAGTAAATCAATTTTGAATCATCATTTATCTATTGATTAGTATGAGATGTGAACCGTTTGTGACTTTTAGTGTTAATTTAACTGTAAGGACATTTTTGATATCTAACTCATTCGAATAGGTTTGCGGGTTTTTGATCTTGAAGTATTGTAATCAATGAATAAATGAACATAGATGAATGTAGATGACTCTATCGATATTATTTGATAAAGTGAGATGAAATGAACAAGATAAGCAAGATTATTCAATATCACTATTGCTCTTATACGATATCCGGATATTGATAGATACCATAGCCAGGTAGGTATTTAAAGAGAGATGGAAGTTGGTAAGTGGATGATGAGAGTGATGAGAGTGATGAGAGTGATGAGAGTAATGAAAGTAATGAGAGTAAGAAAGAATTAACTCGCAATAAAATAAAGCAATAAGTCAAGAGTAATGAACAAAAAAAGTTATAGCGTGAAAGACGAGATATATATAGGTATCAAGACCAAATTGTCATTGAATAATCTATAAAACGATATCAGGAGATCAGGAGATCAGGAGATCTAAAGGGAGTGATGAGAGACGAGATGAGCTCAAAATGATTGATTCATATAAAATCTGAATAACACCTCTTCTACTCTAACACCCTATTTTCTATTATCTATTATCTCACTATCAATATCAATATCTCTCTTTCGAATCCAAATCCTGATCTAGAATACTAATGAATAGGTACCTACTGTATTACATTTCGAGTTTGTGAGATGAGTAGGAAATCAATCATTCGAATTGAGAAAATCAAAGGGGAACTGTATCATTTGACTACAAATGTATACACCCAAGTAGAAAACATAAAAAATACATTGGAAAGAAATCGATTTTGTGGCAAGTTCATTGCATTTAATAATGACCCTTTACCAGCTACCAAGATAGGACTCGTAATCATTCAATCTCCTTGAGAAAGAATAGTCAACCTCTCTCGACACTGACCATATACCATGCAAGCCCAGACCGAACCACCCAATAATAATCACTGTGTATGAAGTTTCACACTTAGACAAATATAACATGTAAAAGAAGAACAACTTTTCATTTCACATCAAATCAATAGCTGCTTCATTTTATTTTCCCATAAACCATATAGATCATACCATGCATTTATCTCTCATCTAATCATCGATACCTAGACATGAATTAAATTCATCCCTAATCTAAGCAATACTGTCATCCATAACTGCTGCCCGAGCATCGGCATACAAAGGTCTAATTCCCGTCCATTTTTGGAACTACACAGTGAGTATTAGTAAGATCATTCAAATTCACCCCTAACAAGCCAGGGAAAATGGGAATCATCAAGATAGACTAACCTGAAACCACCCCTGTGCGCTCAAAACCTCCAACCCAGGAATCGTAACCCAACCAGCATCTTCTGCCATTCTCATAAGAGGAGTTTGAGAAGGCTTATAAGCCATCTCCAACAGTGTCCTCTGCTTTCCCTCGTCCCTCTTCTCATGTCTCAACAAAATGGCAAGAATTTCCCGCATGTTGCTTTCAATCGGGCGATCAGCAGGTATGGTACTGATAGCAACCGAAGGAGGAATGGCGAGTTCAGTCGCCGAAGTAGTGCTTGGAAGCGGGATTATGTTGAAAGATGTAGGGAAAGAAGAGATCAAAACTTCGAGTTTGGAAGGGGTGCGCGCGACCATGTAGATAGGAGAGTGACCGAGAGAGTGTAGGGCGTAGATAGCAGCGCGAGCAGTACCTCCAGCACCGATGACGAGGGCGGGAGAAGGTGAGTCAACGGGTGATGGAGTATAAGAGGCGGATATGAGTGAGTGAGTCATTCCGAGATAATCAGTGTTTTCACCAATGAGACGGGGTGGATTATCTGCACTAGGAATGATGGTATTGACTGCACCGATGACCTTCACTGCATCAGTGACCGAGTCGAGAAGAGGTATGATGTCGAGTTTCAATGGAATTGTGACAGATGCACCACCGAAATTTGGAGCACGAATGACATCTTGTACATCAGATGCTACATCAGTTTCCAGTCTAGAGTATTGATGGGGCAATCCTGTCTGCTTGAAAAGAGTGTTGTGTAGCGCAGGTGATCGTGATTGGGAGATAGGGGTACCAAAAAGATAGAATGATTTTGGCTCTATCTCTCCAAGAGTCGACAAAGTGGATCTGATCTCAGCAGCGGAGAGTTGACCAGGAGCTGCTTTGAAAGGCAATGCTGGATGCGAAACCGGTGTCATGAACCCATTTAAAACACGACTGAGTTTTCCAGCCACACCCATGTTGATGGCAATCAAAGGTGTATCGTGAGCAACCGCCATCGTCTTCTTGAATTTAGCAAGAGCAAAGTTATCCTCGATACTCTTAGCAGATCCGACAAGCTTGATAATATCTCCATATTGAAGAGCTCTATTGTAATGCTGGAACCATCCACCATTTTTCCACGACAAAGTTCCCTCAGGGTCATGGTGTGAAGCTATAATTCTAGAGAATCCTTTAGCTTCAGTAACTTCCTGTAGAATCTCATCAGGGAAAGCAATCTCCAAGTCGATATATTCGATACCCATCTTCACGGCCAGCTTATAGAGTTTTAGTGCCTCTTCATGTGCAGCGTCCGGGAAGCGACCTCCCTGACTAACTGTCCGCACGGTAAAAATCACAGGTAAATGAAGCATTGATCTCAGATGTGCAATCTGAACACTTAGGAAATCAACACCCGGAATTCCATTCGTGGAAGACGGATCCTCCAATAAATCAACACGCACTTCTACAGCATCAGAGCCCACCGCAATGCCAGGCAATATATCTGCTGCTGATGATATATCAGGCATTGTGAGGGAAACGAAGAATGAGTGTGACTTGTTTCGCATCTCATCAAAGTGTAAGCTCTTTCCTGAAATGTGATGTAAGAACCTAGAGAAGTCCTGTTCCGCAACGGACAGAGCACCAGTCCCGCTGCCCTTACTATGGTATTGGAAGTTACTGCATTCATTGAACCAGGGCTTGCGACGAATGTAGACTCCCATCATATCCTCAACATATGCAGGTCGAGTTTTGTCTATGCGAAGATAATCCATGACCTGCTCTGTATCTCTGTGAACCAAAAGGACAATTCCACCAGACTTATGGAAATTGATCAAGAGCTCACGTGCCTCAGGCATCTCGACGACTCCACCACCACAAGCAAACACATGCTTCTCTGACTGGTCTTTCAGGCAATGCTTCAGAAGGTCTAGTTCAGCAGCTCTGAAGAAATCCCAACCCTTCGATCTGACCATGTCAGGTATTGGCATTCCCGAGACGCGTTCCAATTCTACATCAAGATCCTTGTAAGGTCGTCCGAGAATCTTCGCAGCCCAGGCACCAGCGGTGGTTTTTCCAGCTCCACGCATGCCAATAATGAAGATAGACTTGTCTGGAAGGGCAGGAATTCCACTCTTTTTGCTATGCGTAGCTTTGACTTCCTTACCAGCAAGTCCTACTTGGAATGACTGCGAAAGGATATCCCACCATCCTGGCCAGGTCTTGCCAACACATTCACGCTCTTCAATGAGAACCGGTTGGGTTGCAGCGACGGACAACACACTGAAACTCATTGCAACACGGTGATCGTCATAAGAGTGAATGCCTTGAGCTGGGTGCTTCAACTCATTTATAGGTAGACCATCGACCTCAATTCCATCTTCGAGCTCACGACATGTAACGCCGAACTTTGCAAGTTCATCTTTCATGGCTTTGATTCGATTGCATTCTTTGACGCGCTGGTTGGCGATCCCCCTTATTCTAGTTGTACCCTTTGCAACTGCGCCTAGTACTGAAGCGGTCAAGAAAGCGTCTGTCATTGGCTCCATGTCAACCTCCTCAATAGCTTGAAGTGAACCGATGGGAGGACCAGTCACAGTGGTAGAATAATCAGTCTGTACTACAGTACATCCCATTGGTTTCAAAACATCAATAGCAAATCGAGCATCACCTTGAATCGATTTGGATCCAATATTTGGGATCGTGCAAGTAGTTCCAGAGATAGCAGCTACAGCAAGTGGGTAAGTTGCCGAGCTAGCATCACTCTCAACCACATACTCTTCTGGATTTTTGTAGACTCCTTGCGGAATATGATATGTGTGTTCTTCCGTCTGTGATCGGACGACGTGGATACCGAAAGCTGCCATCATCGCTGTTGTCATATCAATATAGAGTTGGGAAATTGGCTTCCCACCAACAAGGCGTAGAGTCACCGGATTCTTGGCGTATGGAGCACACATAAGAAGAGAGGAGACATATTGAGACGACACAGTAGCGGCTAGATTAATGTCTCCTCCGGCAAACCCACCGGAAGCAGCAACATTGACCGGAAGACTGTGTTCATTCTCAAGGTATTCGATATCAACACCGTTGGTACGTAACGAGTCAACTAATGGGCCAATAGGTCTGACCTTCATACGTGCATTTCCTGTAAGAACGGTAGACTTTGTTGTGGCTGAAGGCTTGCACAGCGAGAGGACGGTTGTGAGGAAACGAGATGCAGTGCCTGCATTTCCAATATAGAGTTCTGTAGGACTGGCATGCAAATCACCCCCTTTACCTTGCACACAAAGAATCTCACCTGCGTCTTCCCATGCATATGTAGCACCACCAAGCTTACCGATTGATGTAAGCATGAATTCTACGTCATCCGAATGCAGGAGATTCTTGATGCGACAAGAACCTGTGCCAAGAGCCGCAAGTACAAGTGCTCTGTTAGAAACACTCTTTGAGCCTGGTGGTGTCACCTCCACCTTCAAAGTCTCGGGCACGCCTGGGGTAACTTCTATCGAGTCAGATAAGACGACTCGGATTGCTCGGTCCTCCACGACGCTGGCCTTAGGTTCATGTGTTTTACCAATGGCGGAAAGCAAAACAATCTTCTTCTTCTTTCCATCATTTTTCTTGTCAACACCCATTTTCTCTAATAAAACATCGACGGGGCATGGCTTGCCTGCCGTGAGCTTTTGGATGCGCTTGTCTGCAAGGGAAGTGGGGAGGCCATAACTTGCTATGCATTTGACAAGACGAGCAACTGCTCCTGGTTTCAAAACACCCAGATGTCGGGCCAATTCCGCCTCCTTTACCATTCCAATAGCTACAGCTTCTCCGTGAAGAACCTGCGGTGTCAAGATTGCTTCAAATGCGTGTCCAATTGAATGGCCAAAATTTAAAATATTTCGTAGTCCACCTTCTCTCTCATCTGCTGATACGACATCTGCCTTGGTCTTCGCTGAGCCTAGCACTATTCTCTTCAATATGTCCTGGATAGGAGCTAATCTTGTAGAACGTTCGGTATTCTTGGCTCGAATTGTAGTCATAATAAGATTTGCATTATCCTCAAGGGCAGAGAATTCAGTTTCGTCCCAGATTGCGGCAGTTTTGACCACTTCTGCCATGCCATTGATAAATTCGCGAACCGGCAGGGTTTCTAAGAATCGCAAATCTATGTAGATTCTCTTTGGTTGCCAAAAGGCGCCAACCAGATTCTTTCCCAAAGGCGTGTCGATTGCGGTCTTTCCACCAATTGAGGAGTCAACCATGGCTAGCAATGTTGTTGGTACTTGTACGAATCGTACACCGCGCATGAAAGTTGCTGCAACATAACCAATCATATCACCAATGACTCCTCCCCCCAAAGCAATTATAACTGTGTCCCTTGTACATTGATGCGACAACATCCAATCCTCGATCTCGGCCTTTGTTTCTCTGCTCTTAGAATTCTCTCCTGGGGGAATTTCGTAGGTAAGAAGTCGAGGTGTTGAGCTCGATTTGGCAGCAAGTGCCTCGAAGGATTGCTGGAAAGCGGGGACATAGAGGGGTGAGAGATTGGTATCTGTGATGAGAACATAGGTAGATGAGGGGAGGTCTGAGAGCAAATCTTCTGCAACGAAATTGCGCCAGATATCGAAATCAACAATGATGTCTTCGTTTCCTAGAATGGCGATCCGCGTGGGATTTTGAGGAGTTGAAGATCCCATCTTGAGTTGACCTGACCCGACTTCAGACCTCGAAATGTTGTAGTAAAGGGTCGTCTTCTCTGTCTGTTTCTCAATGACGGATGTGTGGGTTTATTGACGGGAGAACTTATATTTGCCAATTGCCCATAAAGTCAGCAAGGCAAAGGTACATCCACTTATGATTACTTAGTACTTGAAGTAAGAGGGGAAGTATTAGAAAATGAGGGACTCACAATCACAGTGACTCAATGGTTGACTCAATGGTCGACCCGGATCCGAAACTTTTTTTGGCAGGGATTTCAACTGAAGAGCCGAGATCGCGCTCGATGCAGGTCCCGAGTGTGAATGGGTTGAATGGGTTATTTGTGAAGATAAAATACGACGTCGATAGAAAGACCTTGTATTTTTGTCTTTTCTAACTGCTCACTATAAACACCTCGATGAATGAATTTCAAACAAAGACATATAATCTATTTAACCTGGTACCCTCTTTTTTTTCAGTTGTTGTCAATTCTGCTCTGTGCGTGCTTCTGCATCTTCACAATAAATCATTACTAAGCACACAATCAGCAAGTGATTTGATTATTGGGTGCTGTGGTAGTATACTCCCGTCAGCAGCACATCTCCAGACCACAACTCCGTAACTTAACCTTTACCTGACATCTGTCTTACTTTTCGATATCTCCGAGGAAAACATCTTCTGAATCCTTCGCTATGTAGAAATCGTTTGGAGATGAACTAATTGATCTTCTCCGGTTCATCAACTTTCTCCGGTTCAAAGAAACTCCTAGTTTATCTTGGCTGTCGTCGATCCCAGACATGCCGGTGAGCTCAAATGTCAGACTTCCACTAGATATCGAAGAATAGGAAAGCTGGGTTCACTGGACATTCTCAAGTGAGAAGCAGTACTAAAATGTCAGCAAGGAATCACCCAAGATCTAATTGTCTTATAGTTTTATTATCTCCCCTTCTTAATCTTGGTACCTTTCAACTTCATGACAAGATGTATCACATCAAAACTCCTTCAATCTTTGTATCTTAGGCTCGTTCAATACATCAGATTCTTGTCATAGTTGCTAATGGGATTTAAAGCAATTTTAGGCCTAGCTTCCACTCTAGGACTTGTGAGATGGTGAACATTATTATTTACATCCAACGGGTGAATGACCTATATCTCGGTCTCTTTTCACTCCTGTTGTATGACAGCAAAATACCCTCCTATTGCGTGCGCCTTCCGGGGTTCCTGAAGCGCTCTTGTGACGAGGGAAGCTCTACACATTCTTACTCTAGCTGTTAGATACGCTTCACAAGTTCTCTATATTCTATCCACGAGATTCAAAATGGCTGGAGTCTTATGAGTATCAATACTTTCACCTTGAGATGTCTCAATACTTATCCCGCCTTGAAAGCGATCTCTCGACAAAGATCATGGCTGCCGAGGCTACCTACAGGCTTCAACACCATGACAATACTTTCCATCCAATCTATACACCACAATCGTTTCTCAAGATGAGCAATAAAATAAGCATCGGGTTCTGTCAACTAGGCGCTAAGTTTTATTCTTGATTGCAAGTTGCAGCGTTCACTTGGCATTGCAATTGAGCAGAGTCGGTATTGCCATGAAACAGGAGTGTATTTTGCAAGCAGACTACAATTAAGTAATTGAATGAGAACCCTTACTTTCCCGTGCCACTGCCTATACGTTCTTTCATTTCTTTAGTAATAGCCTCTTATCCTTACATGTTTACTGATCGAGCGGGGTCTATGAAGCCATCAAGAGGGACTTACTCTGTAGAGGGGGAGTTGTCATCTCTGGCAGTGACAAGTCGGAAGCGGCACTTCGATGGAGAAAAAAATGTATATATTGATATATCAAACAGCATGGTACTCAGAAGCAACTCAATCATAGATTCATATGTTCACATTGAACCTGTATGAATTTCCACCGACGAGCACTTTCCTCGTTCCAGCCATCTCAAATACACCACTTGTGTTATTCGGTGCATTTATAATGACGTCCACAACTCCTTCATTCAATGTCCACTTCGCGCTCAAGCTTCCATTGAAAGCAGTCACCACCCTGGCGCTGGCAGTCTTGAGCCCCATCGCCAAACCAACATCCGGATTGATAATCCAATTTCTATAGCCATACCCAGATGGGCCATTAGCACGTCTCAATCCAGAAGCCCATTCGGTAAGTAAATATGTAGGTGCTCCGCCCCATGGATGTGCAAGACTTGTATACAAACCAAGTCCCGGGTTACCTTCAAGATTTACATACTCCCAGCTTGCACCTGTGGATGATTTTGGGTTTGACAACATTGGGGACCAGAGGCTTTCGAGTAAGCTCAGAGCTCTGCTACTTTCATTATGTGAGATAATCGCTGCAAGCAAGAATCCATTTATATTAGGCGAAATGTTTGTGCTGAGATCCGAACTATTGACTTGTGTCGAATCTTTATATCCCGGCCCAAGCTTCAGGGCGTCGAGAGCTTGTAAGGATTGAAGTGCTTGGGTCGTGTTTGCTGTGCCTGATGTGATACAGAATCCAATTGCGGCAATAGAATAATCGCCAGGCGAAGCGGCAGAAAGGGAATAAACACCGGCGGTTGGATTCCACAACTGCTTGTTGACCGCAGTGGATATTTTCGTTGCCGCGGTTTGATACTTGGTAGCCGACGCCAAATCATTTAAAGCCATAGCCACTTCCGCGAGCTGACTCAAAGCTTGCACGAGGGCACAGGAGACAGCAGAGCCTTGGCTCGGACCAATGAACGAAGTGAGAAAGACAGGTAGACCAGTGTCAGGACTGAGTTTTGCAATCAACCAATCTGCCAGAAGTTGCCAGTTTGACCATGTTTGATGTGCAAACTCAAGATCATTGCTTGACGAAACATAATTCGAGTAGGATATCAATCCAAGAATTTGGTAATCAGCTAGAACAACACCATAAGTTTCAAGACCAGCGGATGAACCACTACCAAAGGCAAATGTCTGCTTCGCGCCAGATGCATTGTAACCAATCGGCGGAGCAAATGGTAAAAGTCCATCTTCTATTTGCCAGCTTAGAAAGGTATTCAAAGTACCCTTCAAATGGTCATTTCGAGAAGTAGTGACCGGGATTATACGGCCGGTGTGATAAAAATCGCCTAGCCATACTAGGCGATCTCGTTTCGCACCATCTAGACACGTTGTTTGGAGATTAGAGTGAACGCCGTACTCAGTCAGTACCAAATCTGTATCAGTCATCATTGTGTTATTATACAAAAGTGAGTGATTGAATGTGTCCCGAACGATCACATTTTTAATGTAGCCAGCCTGATCTTGCCAGCCACCAAATCCAAAAGTGCCAGCCGTCTGTATTGGTGTTTCACCAACATAGTAAGATGACAAAGAAGTATTGAAAATTTCTGCGTCATCTATATATACCGCAAGGTTGTCTGCGGTATCAAGGATTGTCCGCACCGTATACCAGGTGTTCTCTTTTATGGGAGGTGTATTGAATACATCTAGGCGATAAGAAGGAAGTGTCGTGACATTGACTAAAGAATAACCATAGGAGAGAATCAAGGAATTTGGTGGAGTAAGTGTAGTGTTCGTATTGACAAAAGTTGTATTTTTAGGTAGCTCCCCAATCAGATTCAATTGGAGGCCTAAGGGTTTCGCAATTGGGACGCCAATTGCCCAGCCTATGCCGCCTCTTTTGATCATAGTGTTGAACTCCAACGTGTAATTCTGAAATGATGAGCCTTTAATTGTAAGTCCTGGTTTCATACCCCTTACAAGAGCACCATTCACACCAAACTCCCACATGGAACCCTGGGTTCCGCGATCGATGCAGGCCAATGACGATGCCCTAGCTCCAAGGGCCCAAATATCGTTAAGCATGACATTGTCGGACTCAAACCCACCGGGCAGTGTAGTGACATCAATATCCGATACTGACGCAGTAAATCCAATAGTTGAAAACGTTACACTTCCCGATGTCAAGAGGCGGATTGATTGCCATCTTTGTCCTCCTTGAAGTAGAAATGCTTGGAAAGGTCCAGTCTCGGTGAGTTCAAAGGTTTCAACACGATACGTATTTGAGAGACCAGTTGCAAAGGGGAAAGGTCCGTCAGAGAAGTTAGCATTGAGACCATTGAATTCTTCCGAGTATTTGACCTCAATTTGCATTTTCCCACTGATGAATTCTACATCATAGTATGGATAACCTGCGACCTCATGGCCATAATCTAGCGTGGCCACTGGTGTCGATGGAGTAAGCTCAAATTTGGCCCCACTCGATAGGGGTAAAGTTGGTTCGGTCGCCAGCCCTATTCTAAGTGGTTTAGTCACAGAAGTAGACGAGCTGTTCGTGTGTAAGGTTAGCATTTTTTTCACATTTATTTCGATTGTTAACATACCTGTGAAGATCTCGGAAATGGGAGGAAAGTTTTGATCCTGTCGCAAGTGCAGCAATCTGAGATGTCATCAACAAACATGTTGTAAAGTAATGAGCGATACTCAGATTCATGATGACAATATCAACCATAGAATCTGCAAGTCAGAATAACTCAATCTCCTGCTCCAACACGGAATGTGTGTGGTCACGTGCTTCCAAGGAGACGAAGATGATATGCTTGAGCTTGAAATTATCCTGATATAGGAGACATTCAAGAAAGTTCTTATACTGATACGAAAACATATCTATGAAGAAATGGGTGGTTGGGGTTTCTTCTCTGTCGATTATGTGATGTAGCTAAGTGAAATCTAACCATCGTCGGGTCGGTATGGGGATACGATACGTGAAAGTGGGTGGGAACGGCATTCGAGAGAAGATGCGGAGAATTGTGGGGTATTCGTACGCGTCTCGTGCATATCTGGTGATCGTACTCCTAGTCAATTGTACAAAGTCTCACGGCCGACAGCCAGAGCCGAATACCAACAACCTACACCTCGATCGAAATTTGATACCATATTAATAAATCGATATCACTTTTTAAAACTTTCAGCAATGGTTTTCCATCGAATATTGATTTTCTATGTATAATTTGAAAGGATTCAAGATACAAAACCATATTAAAAGGCGATTTCGAAAAAGACTTGGCTGTACTCCACCCGTCCACTACTCAAGTACAAGATCTATGCAATTGTTTGCCGTTCCAGCTTCCGAACTTCTATCTTCAACGTAATGCCCTGTCCAGACCAAGTTAAATGGCGAAACAATAAAGTTCCTCGAGCTTCCAGAGAGGGGATGAATGTCTTTATAGAGACAAGTCTACTTTCTCCTCCCTGCTCGGTATAGCCATGTATATTTGCCGAGCGTGGTTGGTAGTCAGGAGTCAAAAGCCAATTCTTGATACTCGAAAGCGTTGCCTATCTTTTCGTCGACAGGTATAATAACAGGGAGGTCTTTGGCTGGGGCTGGGGAGTACAATGCCTATCTGACAGTGACATCAAATTCTTTTGAAAGATGTTCATACTTACAGAAGAGTTTTCAATAGTCCGAACCACAGTCTGGCAAACAGAGCTTTCAATCTCTAGATCTAATCAAACATCCGACAAGTATAAGATAGTTGGGATTAAATGTTTTTCGGATATTATTCTCTAGAGTGTGAGAAAATGATGTTTAAAGTGATTTATATATTGAATAAGAATATCAATAACTTTATAAATAATATTGAAAATAAGAAAAATAATGTATATATTATATATAATAATTCTATTAATATAATTTTAATTAATATCGAATTTGATTCAATTGATATAAAAATATTATATTCAAATATTCCTTGTATTTTGAAAATAGAGATTTATTTTGAATTTATAAGATATATTGATTCCAATTAAAAGTTATTTTTATTAGTTAATATTTGAATTGATTAATTATTTACCTTTTTTTATTTTTTTTATTTTATTGAAGTAATAGAATTGATTATAAAATAAATAAAATTATATATATAAATATCAAAAGATAAAAAGCTTTTGAGATTATAAATATTTCTATAATATTTTATAAAAACAGTCAAGGTTTATTTTTATTTAGGAATTTATATTTATAAATTTTATGTTTAGAATGTAGATGTGAAGGACTGTCATAAAAGAATTCAATTCTACCTTAGAATCTAAAACTAAAGAAGGAAGAAAAAAATAAGAAGAGAACTGTAAAGGCTCCGAATTATATATACCAATAAGTTATATACTAGACTAAGGTTCTAGAAGCTAAATAACTAAGAAAGGAATCTGAAAGGGACTGAATCATCATATTACCTTTTTGTTTGAAAAAAGCTCGTCCTTAAGCACTTATTCATCTCCTTATCTCCAACAATATCATTATACTTATTATTATCATCTTTATAGTGTTTTAGCTATTGAGGTAATGCCTTAAACGGGTTAAAAAGATCTTGATTGATTAGATGATACTTTTTAAGTTTATAAAAAAAGTATTTGAAATTATTAGTAGTATACCAGGTAAGATCAATATTATAATTACATCATTGTATTCGATAATAAATATTATTACGAGTGCTTTTCGAAATTATGATTTATTCGATTTCCTATTCTTCTTCACCAGTAATATTGATTAGAGGGTCAGGATTGTTCACTTGATTAGAAAAAAAATCATTCGCAGCTTTTCGTAGCTTTTCAGTTAGAAATGTATCGAAAATTTTCATTATATCTAATAGCACTAGCTTAAAGGAATGCTTTACCTTTTCAATAATAAAGAACTTGCCGTTTATTGGAAAATCTAGCTTTTTTGAAGAATGCTCGGTTTGATAGTATTACATATCAAACCATACAAAATCGCCTACTTTGAAATCAATAAATTGTTGATGTGTATTAGTTTTGAGCTAGGCTTTTTTTTGAGCGTCTATAAAGTGTTTTGTAGTGAGTTTCCATATATCGTGGTATCATTGAGCTATAATGTAGGTTTCGTTTATATTGAGCTTATTCTTGATTTTAATATTATAAAACTTTTAATTCTAAAAGGTTTGTGAGGGATAGCTGTATACAATTTCAAATAGAGAAATACTATTAAGAGAATTGTGAGGTAAGATGAACTGTATGTAATTTATTATCAGTAAAAACTCTGACCAATTATCTTAATAATAGAAAACGAAGGATCAAAGTCTCTTTTGAAGGTATTGATTATAGATTTCAGTTTATCTATTAGTTTGAGAGTAATCCGTAATTGAATAACTAATATTAGTATCTAGAATCTTTTGAAATTCTTTTCAAAAACTTGATATAAATTAGAATCTACAATCAGATATTATGAAAAGAGGAGAACCGAAATAACAATAAATATAATAAATATATAATTTGGCTGTTGTAATTAAATCGATCGTTTTTTTGTAAGGAATGGAAATAGCTTATTTGCTAAATCGATTAATAATAACAAATACATTATCATATCCATATTTATCTTTGTTGAAGCTATAATAATCTATAATAATATATTTCCAGGATCGGCTTGATATTGGCAATGGGTGTAGTAAGCCAGGGGTTTTGTTTCGAAGGATATTTATTCTATAACAAGTATTGCAATTTCAATAGTATTGAGTTACTGTTTAAGAGATTCCTTACCAGTAATAGTAATTGGTTAATAACTTCAAGGTTTTTCGAATACCTAAATATATAGTAAAGATATTATCGTAAGCTTTTCGGATTAAAAGGGTATAAAGATTATCTGTATCAGGAATTATTAGTTTGTCTTTATATAATAGCAGTCCATCTTCGAGACTAAAATGATTATCGTTTTTTTATACTTGTTTCTGTAAGGTTTCTAAAGAAGAAGTATAGCGATTAGCGAATAGAATATAATTGATAATCTATAGAACTAGGGAAATCGGAGTTAGATCTAGAGTTCGGATAAGAGTTTTTTCAGTAGGATCTGATTGAAGCTTACAAGCCAGAATAAGAGAATCGATTTGATCGTCTTTCAGGAGTTGCTAGCAGTATTGCAACTTTTTCTTTTGATTTTGGTTATTGAATTCATCGATATAGTAGGTAAGAGTGTTAATTAATGGATTATCTTTTTCTAGATAATAGTATATTACAAAATTGTAGTTCGCCAGAAGTTTGATCTATCGTGCTTATCGGGAGTTTAAGGCTTTTGTAGTTATAAAATAGATTAGTACTTTGTGATCGATATAAACATAAATCTAGTATAGTGTATTAATAAGTTTAGCATACTAATATCCAAAGGACTTTATAATAAAGAGTATCTCTTTATTGTAAACTTTGTAATTAAATTTAGCAGAAGCTATAATTTTTGAATAGAATCCTACAGGTAGTTAGTTTTTGCTATACTTTTACAAGAGAATATTTGCTATTATTTTATCTGAGGTATTTATTTTCAGTATATATTCAAGGTTTTATTAATAATACTGTAAAACAGAAAAGAAGGTAAGAAAATTCTTAAGAATATCAAAAGTATATATACAATCATTATCAAATCGAAAGGGGATATTATTTTTGATTAGATTAATCAAAGATTTGGCTAATATATCAAAGTTGTATATGAATCAGCAGTAGAAATTATAAAATCCTAAAAAGGACTGAATTCCTTTAACTGTAATCGGATATATCCAATTATATATAATAACAACTTTTTCAGAATCTATTTCAACTCTTTTTGTAAAGATTATAAAGCCAAGGTATTTAGTACAAATAATACTAAATTCACTCTTCTTTAAATCGATTTAAAAACCAATATCTCTTAAGCATTATAAAACCTTTTTCATATAGATCTGATATTCTAAAGGATCTGAAAAGTAAATCAAGATATCATCCAAATAAACTATACAAAAATCATCAAGATAATTAAAGAGAATATTATTTATATAACATTGATAGATAATAGAATTATTAGTTAGACCAAAAGGAAGAATACAGCATTTATAGATTCTATAGCGCGTACGGAAAGTTATATATTCTTCGGATTGAGGGTTTATTCTAATTTGATAGAATGCTTAACGAATATCGAGTTTGATAAAAATCTTAGTATCAGTAAAGCAACTAAGGATTTCGTTAATTAAAGAAAAAGAATATCGATCCTTTCAGATAAATGAATTCAATATACAAAAATCAATACAGAATCAAAGACTTCTATCTACTTTTCTTACAAAGAGGATAGAGACTATAAATAAAGCTTGATTAGATTCAATAAAGCCTTTATAAAGATTATCAATGATATACTTCTTAACTATTTCGAGCTCTTCAAAAGACATCTTATAAAGAAAACTATATTTAAAAGCTTTTTCACTATTATTTTCAAGGGTAATCTTATGGTCGTATAATCAATATAGTGATAGTATATCCGATTCGGCTTTCGAGAATATATCAGCATAGTCTTCATATTCTAATGGAATGAAAGGTTCTGTGTTTAGTGCAGATAATGAGGCTAGTAACGAGTATGCAGCTATACAGTATTACAATAGGCTAAAATGAAGGTTTTGTAATATAATATCAACTAATTTAATTGATCTTTCCTTTTTAGAGTGTTGATCGATTAATTTGCTAATTTCGTGGAAAGAGCTAATGAATAATTCATTGTTTTGTTAATGTATATAGATCAAATAGAATACGGAGCCTATAATAAAAGCAATTCGATTAGACACTTTGAAGTTATCTGAAGAATATAGAATAGAAAAGTGCTTTTTATAAGATGTAGGTATAAGTGAATTATTCTTTAAAACTTTATATAATAAATCCTTCAGAATTTCGTTTATTCGCTTGATACTTTTGGTTATTGATTTCTTAAAAGTATTAC